TACTTCAGGACATGTCATCGTCCTGTTCTCGTTATCGTTCTCGTTCTTGTTTCGCATTCGGTTCCCATTCCCGATCCCATGGCAACCTGTTTCACAGGGTTGGATGTCCTTTTGTGTGGTGTGCGTTGGAGTGTTACCGTTGCCGGCCGTGAGAATTGAATGCTCGGAGGGGATGGGCAATAGGGGTAACAGGTTCAGGTCCTGGCCCTGCTGCACAGGTATGCAAAAGTCAAATTTGTTTGCTATGGGAATTTGTCGAAGGTGTCTGGCTTGGGAAAGTCTTGCAGTGCGATGGAGTGTTGTGCGGTGGGAATTTGCTCGGCTCCCTTTGTTTGGTGTGAATTTGATGGAAACTCATGAAAATTGTGGGCGGCCAGTGGATGGGGAACAAGGAAGAGTTAGGGGGTTGTTCCAAAGAGGTTCCCAAGGAATAGTTCTTAGCCAAATTAGCTGATGCGAAAGAGTTTCAGTTGTTTGCAAAGGCTGAGAAGAAAACTAGAATATGCTTGATAAAATGCCAATGAATAATCATGGGATCAGTCAAATTACAAAATTTAAAATTTTACTTTGTAAACTTTGTAAAAGTTCGACGTTTTATTTAAATTTAGGCAAAAAACATTTTTTAGAATTCTTACTGAAGAATTTATACAATTTATACATGTCAATAACTTAAAAAACTAAAAATGAATGATTCTAATTTTTTTTAAAACAATATCAAATACGTGGATTTTGCGGAGACTTTTTAAGATTGTATACATATGGTATGTAGAAATGTAAAAAAAATTTAAGAATAACAAAATAATAACAATAAAAAAATAAATAAATACAAACAAAAATATATTTTTAAAACTTATAAGCTCTTATAAAATAATTTTTATTTTAATAAGATAAATATAATATATATATAAAATATAATGAAATACATTTAATTTCTTACTTCTATTTAAATGAGTTCCTTTTTAGTTGTTTTTATCCTAATTCTTTTCTTTTATTTCTTAAGTAGTAAACCAATTCTAATTAAATTTCGTTGCAAGAGCCGAGTATTTCCGATTTGTGCTAATTTCCTGTGCCCGCCCCAGGTCGTCGTTTTGAGACATTTCACACAAATTTCGTGCACTTCCTTCCGGTGAGCGGAAGGAGGAAAAGGAGCGCATAAGGGCAACCAGCACGAAGCAAGGATATTCCCCGGCCAGACAATAAATAGAAATCTAAATTGCAAAATATGGGCCACGGCCTGTGGGAACCAATTTGATGTGGGCCCACCCTCGCATCATCGATAAGATCGTCGGCCGAAGGAGGTGCTGAGAAAATCTCGTTTGTTGTGGCAGTTCGCAGGGCTCCTTTGTTCGCCTGGGAGAAACATTTCGCTTGTTTGTGCTCGAAAACAGGTTAACAGGTATTTAGCCCTCGGATCAGTCGGGATTAGAGCGATGGATGCGATGCGAGATCTTGAGTGGGTGGTCAGCTATCATGTGGAATCCATCGACCAGAGAATGGAGCATGTTCGCTGTCCCATAAATCAGAGAAAGCCTTGAAATAGTTCGGATTTCATTTGCATTCCAGTACAAGCAATTAGGCTAAGGACTCTGGGAAAAGGGATAATGAAAAAGCAAGAGGGAAAACGAACTAATGAAATAAAATAAACTGAAATGAAATGGTAATTTGATACGCGCACACTTATGGAGTGCGTTTCTCAAGGACTCGCAGGTAGTCCTGTGGGCACCGAGAGTCCTTTGTCTTCGCTCACATTGGCGCATCGAATGGCAATGCAAGCAAACAGATCCTTGGCCCCGAAGATCGATCGTTATCCTTGGGGGAGCGTTAATTAGATTTGCACCGAGCGGCCCTGATCAAAGGATCACTGGTCAGTTGAAAATCTAGAAAATCACAGACACACACCTGTGGGAAAGGACCCCACGCAGCCAGGACGAAATGCACTTGCACACATCTCTCTCGCCAGGACGTTCCATCGACTGACCTTTCCTCTTCCATTTAATTTCCATTGTTATTTGCAGTTCCCTTTATTAATTTGAAGAGCCCGCACTTCATGCAACTGTTGCGCTTGGCTTCACTTCGTCCTTCCGGAAGGATGTTCCTCCTGTTGGCCGCTATTGTGCTGCCGAGGCACTTCCTGTGGGTCACTGGGAACCCTGTGGCCAAAACAATCTATTGTTAATTAATTGTGCTGGTCAAGCAAGACGCCTGGGAAGAGGAAGTGGCGGTGGATGGAATGCCTCCCAGGTAATCATTAAAGGAGTCAGGGATATTAATGTGCTAGTTCTGTATACTACAAGATGAATGGTCTTTGCACTTTTTCAAGAGTTAAATTCGGTTACAAATTAAAATTTTTATAAGAATCAATTTTTTTAAATTCTCTTACTTGTTCTTGTTCACAATTCCACATTGAAATTTTAATATCACTATTGTATTGTATTGTATGTTTGATATTTACATTTTCTTAAAATGTGTAAATGAGCAGTAGCTTTATAAAAATTAAATAATGATAAAATAAATAATAATAAATAATTTTATGATCTTGAAATTAATAGTTGGTCGCTACTAAATTTAAATTAAAAAGTCTGATGCAGTCTTACATTTTATTACGAGGCTTATTAGCGCCCTCTAGCATTTAGCGGAAATACTTGTTTTGTACATAGGCTTTTTACATGATGCAGTAGCGCCATCTATGCGTCGTACTTCCTTATGTAATAGTACTTTGGCTCACCGCTAGATAAATATGTATTTATCATTTACTTTATTGGTTTTATCTCCTAAAATTTAATTTTGTTTAAAGTGTTGATGTCTAAAAATAACTTTATAATTTCAATTGACTTGGTTTGTAATCTGGTCCACACTTAACAAAGTAATGACTTCTGAATACTTCAAGAAAAATTTAGTAAAAGTGGCACTTTTACAATATAACTACGGTTCTTAGCGAAGTGACCCATTTGATTTTTTGGCTTGTTAAGTTAACGTTCTGAAGTCACATTTTAGGCTTTTTCAATAACACTTTATGATCTAAAATGGTATTCCATTACCCCTAAAATAATGGGTTAGTTAAAGGTTCAATTAATAAACCGTGAATTGAAAAGGCTGAAACTGTGAAAGTTTAAATTTTTTGAAAATATAAGCCCAGGCTTTTGCCAGATTTTAAAAATGTTTGTATGTATATTATATTAGTAATTTAGAACAGCTTTACCTTTTCAATAATGTGTCGTGTTTCATATTTTTATCCTGGTTTTTATGTAACGTAAAGTAACTTGCTTCTATAAATTTTATTCTTCAAATGGTCGCATATTTTTACCCCTTTCTCACCGAAGGACCAATTCAAGGGTGCGCTCACATGTGTCATCATCCCACTGCGCAAAAAGAAGCCCCACAACTGTCGCTTTTGCGGTGACCCCCACGAAACTCGCACCTCCACATCCCCGATCCCCCTGGCATGTATTTTTTATTGTGCCAGAAGGTCTTCTCTGCTTCTTCGAAATTCATTTTAATTCGTTTTTATTTCTTTTTAATTTTTATTACATTTTCGTATATTAGCTTTGACTTTGCTTTAGTTGTATCCACTTTGAATTATTTGCTGTTTGTTTTCCCCGCTCGCTCCGCGGGCCAAAAACGAAAAAAGGGGAAATAGAAAACGGCATCAGCTTTTTTCCAGCAGCATTGTTCCGCGGACTTCTGGGTGGAGAATGGACGTCTAGGACCCAGCTCCGGTGGTCGGTCTCCGGGTCCGGTTTTGTAGTTATTGTCCAACGTTGACTGTTTACGCCGAATGCGCTGCGCCACGTCGCGATCCGCGGAGTAGGAAATTAAAAATGGCGAAATAAAGTTAAATTTTTTATGGCTTGTGCAAATAAGTCACGGCCAGGCGACCAGTGGGATGGTGGAAAACCCGTCCGTGGAACTGACCGGGAAAATCCCGGCCAGCCGCCGATGGCCCCGCGTGTAGCTCATCGCTTGTTAAGCAAGAAAATAATATTAGCATTAAGCGTTTGTCTCTGCGCCTCTGACAGACACGGCGCCATCAGTCGTCCCTCCCAAGTCCTCCCTCCCAAGTCCTCCCCCTTTTTTCTGATATTTATTTTACAAAATGGGCGACAAACTTGCCCGCTTTCGGCTTCATTTTTTTCGCCTTTCCTGGTCTTGTAGTTTGTGTGCTCTACTCTTTTTGCTCATATGGAGCACATCCAATTAAGCAGCTCTGGAAGTGGTCTAAAAAATGAGTTCTGGCGGGAGAGGTTCGGTGGCGCGGCTGGTGCGAAATTGTCGGCTTTAAAGAGATCTCGGGGAGTTGAAATTAATGGCTGCATGAGAGGTTTACAGGTGCCACAATATGCAATTCAAAAAAGGCATTTAGCAGTAGAAATTAAAAAAAAATCGTAAAGAAATTATATTATGACCATATTTTAAGTATCGGAACTTCCATATCTATTTAATCAGTAATATTTTGTTATTTTGAAAATGTATTTAGGTCTTAAAACTTTTTTAAATAGGTATCTAATGTGCAAGTGTTAAAATTATTGTATATTATACTTGGTGTAAAGCCAAATTCAATTTGTTAGATTTCTTATAACATGGATTACATTTAAACTGGAATTCTGTGTCGTTGAAAATTATTACATAAGTTAGCGCTTCATCTGAGACCTACCCCAACTGGTAGCCCATGCCATTCTATTTATGGCCACTTCCTCCTACCTCTGTCAAAGTGTTCCACTTTTCGAAAACCAGTTTTTGACTGACACACTTGCACTTTCTTTCAATTAGCCGCAAAGACGCTCGTGTGCCGGCTGCTGTCTTTTCTTTTCGGCGGTAACAATTTGGGATTTCTTCGAGACCCTAATTAACTGGTATTTAAGGCAGGAACGGGGCGTGGGTGCCAAAAGAGGTGTTGATGGATTTGTATGGAGATGTGGGCAGATCGCGTGTTGGCTACCGTCATTCTTAAGCGGCTGCCTTCCACTGAGTGGATTCAGTACCGCGTCAGACGTTGTCGCGATCGTGACCATGTGGATTTGGCTCTGGCTTTTGCCCCTCCTAAAAGCGTTCTCTGCCACGGCCCTTTTTGATCAGTGCAACCACGAGGTGAAGCTGCAATCGGGCCAGAAACTACTCATCAACTCGCCCTATTACCCGGCTCTGTATCCTGTGGGCACTTCCTGTCGCTACGCCGTCGAGGCGCCCAAAGATCACGTGCTGCAATTCAAGTGCGAGCTGCAGCTGCAGACGGTGAGGAAATCAAAAATTAGGAAAGCAGTGATGCCAAAAACCAATCAAAAATCTGTTCAGAACGTTTGTTTTTGTTCGATAGAAAATTGAAAACAGTTCCGATAAATAAACATTAAATTTTGTTCAAAGTTAAAGAAATCATTACTTGTGCTTAAAGTACTTAAAATGTATCTAAGATGTATCTAAAATGTGCAAAAAATTCCCAGAATACGTGGTACTAAAATGTGTCAGAAAGAAAACATTTTTAATTGTGTACGAGTATAAATAAATTAATTAATTGTACATAAATAAGGTATGAATCTTTAAATTCATCGATTATACTTTGCTTCAAGAGTAGAGTTGTTTGCTCTTATTTTTGATCTAAGGCGATAAACATCTGCCTTAACTTTTTGCGGGTCTTTTTTGGACTAGCTGGCATCACTGATAAACGTCTTCAATCAAAGGAATTTTACACCACTTGCTCTTTCGCAGCTTTCCACGGACTTGAAATGCCGCTCGGAGGTGTTCCACTTCAATTCCGAGGGCAACGAGGTGTTAACCAGTTCCGAATACTTCTGTGGCAGCGGAAAATTCGAACGCATAAGTTTTCTCAATCGCGCGGCGATTTCGTACATATCCAATGGACACTCGGAACCGCCTTCCGCCGTCAAGTTAAAGGATAAACTCTCGGAGGGAATAGCTATGAGCACAACTACACAGGCGCCACAAAATATTTCGATAGAGGAGCAGGAGGAGGATGAGGAACAGGAGGAAGACGAAGATGGGGAGCAGGAGGAACCCGAAGAGGACCTCAGCGACGAGGTGCTGCACGTGTTGCAGGATGTGGGCGTCAGCGATGCCCTCGCCTATGTGGCTTCCCTACTCTACGACGACGAGGAGTCCAGGAGGTCCAGCACTGCTATTTACCTCGACGCATTGCCAATTCGCAGCAGCTCAAAGACTTCCGCAAAACGTGCCCGGATTGTTTCTAGCTACCCACTTGCCACATCTCCTCTGAAAGGAGGAGGACGCTTCACCTGCCTCGTGGAGGCCATTCAGCCCACGTGCAGCTGCGGATGGAGCCGGCTGCCCCGGATAGCCAGTCCCACCAACGAGGAGGCCCTTCTGCACGAGTTCCCGCCGATGGCCGGCGTCCTTACCAAGAAGCACGGAAAGGTCTTCTGCGGCGCTGCGATCAGTGAGTATATGCAAGATAAATATTAGGGATTACCCATTTAAAAACTAAAAGGGTCAAGAAAAACTATACTTTTTTTTAATATGATTGCTTTCTATTGCACTATTAAGAGTCAGTAACAACCAAAATTGACAGAATTGAATAGCTACATTACTTGATAATATGACAGTATCTTAGGTATTTAACTAAAATACAATAGACCATATTGGCAATTTGTTTTTATAATTTTGAACAATTAAAATCAATCTTTCATGCATAAATTACATTAAGATGCTTTATAAATGTCTTGGTTGAAGAAGTATCCTCTTTCTATAATCATCTAAACATTAAGAATAAAAAGTTTAATTACAACAATTGCTTAATTTTGCTTAAGGATTAATCACGACATAATTTGTCTGTTTTTATTTTACTCAACTTGCAGTTCACCACCACTACTTGCTGTCGGCCGCTCATTGTTTTGTTGGACCGGAGACAAGCCGACCTGGTCAATTGCGCGTGGTGGTGGGCGAGCACGACTTGGCCAGTGCCTTCGAGACATTTGCCACCCGCCGCTACGACCTGGACGCAGTGATCCTCCACGAGGAATTCAGCCAGGCGAAGGGACAGCCGAGGAACGATATTGCCCTACTGAAGACGAGAACTCCGATCCTGTGGAGTCGGCATGTGGGTCCTGCCTGTCTGCCACTGCAACCGACGGCGGATGGCAAGAAACTGCCGCTGGCGGGGTACCAGGTGGTTGCCGCCGGATGGGGGACCACTTCCTACGGCGGTCCGCAAACCCATCGCCTGCTGAAAACCACACTGGATGTGATCGATGGGCAGGAGTGCCGGCAAAAGTTGATCTCCTCCGGGGGAGTACCGGCCCACACCTTTTGCACTTATACTCCGGGAAGGGACACCTGCCAATATGATTCGGGAGGAGCTCTCTACGAGCGGATCCACGGACGCCTCGTGGCCGTGGGAATAGTCAGTTTTGGCCAGGCCTGCGCCACCCAGCAGCCATCGGTCAACACTCGCGTCGCCTCCTTCATCAAGTGGATTCGGGCCAAGAGCCCCGAGGTGGCCTATTGTCCTGGCAGGACATGAGGCCCGCCACTACTATGATTTATGAATTTATTGTAAGGCTAAGAAAGTGGTTTAAACATAATGGAAGCACGTCTTTGATTAATGGGGAACCAAGGAATGGACACCAGAGGATATATTTTAAGAACTGCTATAAAGTTATTGTAACTGAAGTCAATACTATCTAGATTTTCGGAGCAAAGTAATAGGGAACGGAAAAGTAAAGATTAAGGTACCACAAATGTTGTATTTCGTTTTACAAATAGTAAATCAAAAGTCCAGATTGTAAAGGGTAACTAATAAAGTTATGTTTAAAGATAAGTGAAAAATACAATTGGCATAATATAATTATTATTATTATTATAATAATAATAAAAAATAATTGAATTTATGATTTAAGAATCTAAAAAAGTCACTTATGACATTTTCCGATGAATATCTCTTATGGAAATCGCCCCACCTCCGGTTCGAGGGTGTCGAGCCACTTAGCACGCGTAAGTGGGTGTCAAGTTTGTCGCTCTGCCTGAACGCGTTCGTCGTCGATATATCAGCACCACCAGGTGGATTCGATGTGCCCACCACTCGGCTGTCAATCATGCATGAGCGTGAGGATGTGGATGCGGATGGGAACGCCTGGCTGGAGCTCTATGTCCTCCGCCCGAGGCATTGCAATTAAGCGCAAATGTCAACTAATTAACCTCGGGGGCGATGATTGCCGACTACCCATAACCGTAACCCTTCGCTTCGCTCAGCCCGTGGGCCTGTCAATAAAACGCCATTCAGCTGGTTTATTTTTACAACCGGTCGGAATCTTCCATTCAGATAAATAATTAAACGTTTCGCATAACAGATGAAGCTCGCTTTTAGGCTTAAAGGCAATGCGGATCTCGTCTGGCGGCTGCGTCTTTTTATTCGCTTTTCTGGAGGACCTGTTTTTGTCTAACCTTTCACTGGCGTTGCACTTTTTCAATGCTCCCCCATTGGGGGGAAATAGGGGGGGAGTTCTGTGCACATATCTACAAATATCTGTCTAGCTAAGCTCGCCTGCATTTCGGAGTTGTTGCAATGTATTGGCCGTGTTTGCCTCTGTTTGTTTTGCAGTTTGGGTTCTGGGTTCTGGGCTCTGGGTTCTAGGTACTGGGTGTTGGGTTTTTGGGTAACCGGGTGTAGACGCTGCCTTGCAAGCCTGTTGTTCAATTTACGTGAAACGCGGCCCAGAGCAGAGCGCACCAACGTCAACTGCAGTCGGTGGCATCAAGTGCTGCCTGGGATTGGCGGCCCGGCATAGAAATGGGCGGTGGTGCGTGGAGGGGCCCTGCTTTTGGGGCGGGGGTGGCTGCCGTGCTCTGGTGGCACTAATTGAAAAGCAGCAGCCACTAACAGCAGTCGTCGCCAAAGGGCTGCCGAGGGATTGGGTTTAGGGACCAGCGCCACCGGGTAGCTACAGTAGGGATGTAATAACTTTGATTAGTCCGGATGTGAAGGAGCTGCAACTAGTCCTCATCGCAGTAACACGAACAAAACATATTATATACAGTGGGCCTGACTATGAAATCTTCATTAATTTAAAAATAAACAACTAAGACGATTTTAGAAAATCTATTTGAAAATCTGGTCCGGAAATTTGCGTGCTATTTTAATTTAAAATTCAACTATCTTGGGTTCAAGAAAACTGGAAACATTTAAGGGATTTATTTCCTTTTGGCTCTAATAATGGTAATTGACGCCAAATAAGCCAAGTTTTTAGTTTTCCATTTTTTCCAGTTTAATAATTAGTTATAACTGAATTGGGTTGTCAATAAAAGTGATAACAATTTTTCACATTATATTAATATAATCATATCATATTAATGTAAATATGTTTACATATATTATACAGTTAGAAAAGAGTTATGTTTGTCCCTAAAATATGATTGAACTTAATAACACGTATATTTACAACTTTTCCCCGAACTATACTGCGGTTGTCCACTGTACGAAGAAAGCCAATGCGCAAAACACTTTTTACCCCGTGTTTTTTTCTGGCAATTTCCTTTGCATACTTTTGTGCTGCATTTGATTACAAAATGGCGGCGTTGTCCTGGCTCCTGGATCCCGGCTCCTGGCTGCTCCTGCAGGACCTGCCGCGGCTGCAACAGGAGCTATTGCAGTCGTAATGCAGCCTAAACATTGCGTTTAGTTCTCGTTTTGCTGCAGTTACAAATGCTGCAATCGCCTGGACTTTGACTATTCATTAGCGTGTGTGTGTGTGGGTGTGTAAGAGTGTAAGTGTGTAAGTGTGTGTGTCTGTGCGGCGGGATGGGGGCCAAAAAACTCTAACAAGCTCAAAAAGCAATTTGCGAGGGCCCGCTAAAAAATTGGCAAAAATATCGACGTGCCGGTCATGCAATTGACGTTTTGCGGGTGGTGGGTGTGCGGGGGAGGAAAAGGGGAAAGGGAAGGGGAAGGATTTTCGGGGGGAATAGGGATTGGGGCCTGTTACATAAAACCACGCGTTGCACAAAAGCCGCCAAATCGTCGTCGTCGCTCAAAAGCCCCAGCAATGAAAATACAAAATGGCCGACCCATATCCAAATTCAAGATGTTCTCGTAAACTATTTTAACTTGTACTATTTCATGAAAAGCATAACTAATAGTTTTTTACATAAATTTTAATACCCTACATAAGTACCAACTTACATGCACCCCAGTCAAAGCTTCATAAAATTTAAACAGAAAGCGTTTCTAGGAACCGCTTTACAAATATTTTGCTAACCCTCAAAAGTAAATTCGGTTTGTGGTCAGAAATTAGTACATATAGACGTTTTTCAGCACGTAGCCCCTGTACACACGACTGAGCCAATTAAATCCATTTACAACTGAAAAATCGAATATGTAAAACCAGTTTATTTCTAGATTCAAAATCAAAATTAAAAAGTATGAGCTTAACCAAACTGGGTTGAGCCCTTAGATACAATAAAAAAACATAACATAAATATTTTTCAACGGCTTTTTGGAAGTTTTCCCAATAATATCTTATATGTAACGATTATTAAAATTTTAAAATGCAAATGGTTTACTTCTCCAGAATGACAACAGATTTGCCACTGATTAAGTTACATTTTTTTGAGAAATGGAAACTAGTGAGTCTTGTATATCGTTGGCATTTAAAAATGTTAGATGAAAATATTCAAAGAAAACTAGGAAGTTTTTGATATATGAATTATGCCACAGATTTGAGGTTTCCCCAATCTGCCTTGCATACATTTCTTGTATAGTAGGCATTTTGTAACACATCAAAGCCTATAGTTAACTTTTCGGCTTTGATAAAATTTGTAAAAGTAAAAGTATTTTTAACGGCGAAACCATAGCCAGGATGTCTTTGGGTCGAGCTTTCGGTGGTTTAATCCTTTCGGGTGTTCCCCAGACTAGGAGCTTACATCAAAGGAGGACTCGGCGACCAATTCCAGTGGTTCCAGACTTAAGGTCTAATGCCCCAGCACAGTCTTCCAAGCCTCCTCGTATTCTGGTCAAGAGCTTCATTGCCCTCCACCATCTCGATTCGGAAATCATTCAGGATGCTCCTCGTGATCTCAGAGACTTTTTTATGTCGAATTCGAAAAATGTGAAGAGATGATGCAAAATCATGAGCCAACGTCTTAAATTAAATGGAAAACACATTTGGAATCTTCATCCTTTAAAAAGTTAAAAAAAGTTTAATAAGTCTTGTAACTAATTGAAAGTCGACAAATACTTGACGCTTAATAATCATTAGCAAATTTTTAAGCTCAATGTAAACGAATAAATATAAGTTTGACAATTAAACTAAACTAAGCCTGCCTTTTGGATTCATTAAGAGACTGAAAACTCAATCTTAATGTGCAAGTGTACATTAGGTTAAGCTGTCTTTTAAATTTAAGCACACTGAAGAACACTGAAAATGTTATTTATTCATGTTCCCTTTATTTTGGGTAACTTTTTCCCTGCAGAACCTTTCAAGTAGGCTCTTGAAATATACTCTTTTAACATTATGACAAGTTTGTTTTATATTCTTCTATTCACCAAAATTTTAAAAAGTTTTCTTTGAGCACCAGTAACGGGTTGACCACCTATCGCATTATGTTCCTGGTTCGGGCCATGATCGGATTGCCGATTTTGAAGGCGGAGACGCAGCTGCAGCACCGACGCCAAATGTCGGAAAGGCTTCCCTATCATCGGAGACCCGTGCCTGTAAAGCTTCGTGAGCGACAGGACTCTTGGACAGATCCAAAGAGACCACCATTTTTGCTGGTGAAGAGCTTCCTGAACTTACGCCATATGGACGCCGACAACGGGAAGAATATTTCGCGAGTTACGGAAGAGCTAAGTTTCCAGCCACACCGCACTCTCTTCATTAATGTCTTGCAGATTTCGCATCGTGGCTTTTCGGAGGCAGAGAGTTTGGCGGAGATGATGGTCAAAAATCCATTAGTTCCGAACTCGGTTCCAGAGTCGTGAATGTTGGTACTCCGAGTTGAGTCGAAAATAATGTCTTCTTAGTTTCTTAGAATAAATGTAAATAATCGATTTTGATTACATCTAACTACATATTGAAATATATATTCAATGGCATTATTTAATTAACTCAAATTACGTTTTTTAATTGCCTTATATTATATATAGGATTATCAGGGCTTTCGATAAATCTTTGATTCGGATTAGGGGCCGTTCAAATATTACGTAAGCAGATTTATTTCAATTACACAGAATAAGTTACAAAAATATTAAAGCCTTTCGAACATAACAAACTTATTTTAAATTTTTGGTACACATATTAATTAGACTAGAATTAATAGACTTCCCGCCCCCACATGGTGTTTACGTAATACTTAAACGGCCCCTAAGTTAAAAAATGCTTTTCAACATACATCCATAAATGTAGCCTTATCATATTTATAAAATATTTGTAAAGATGCAATGTGCTTTGATATAAGTAAGTACGATTTTAACATCTTCATTTTAAAGTTCTTTCTAAGAATCCCCAGGAATAAATAATGGTAGAAATACTGGTAAATGAAACTGTTACTGTGTTTATTACATATTTCTGGGTGAAAAATTTTGGAAATTTGAGCGGTCGGCTGGATCGATCCGTACTTTTGGCCACATGAGTTCGGGTGCTGTGTAGTGTGTAGCGAAGGCAATACTGGACTTGGCTTTTGAGGCCTGAATACTGGATAGATAACGCAGAATGTATCTAAACAAGGCGAGCTCGGATGCTTTGCGATGAGTTGTTAAGTTGCAACGTGGCAAAGAACACCCGTACTGTAGCCCAATTTGAAATAGCTTTCGACGCTTGCTGCACTTCTCGCCCCCATGGAGAGATCCATCGAATCCGGTCCAGACATCTAGACATCGTAGGTTCCGTAGACCATTCGCCGGCGGAAGTCTGCCCAGCGGTAGCGTGGATTCCGGAAGCGGATCGCCTGGACCTCCTCGCCGCGGTCCTTCTGCTGGTACTTCTGGAAGTTCTTCACAAAGCACCGCGGGGCGTGGTGGTACTCGGGATTGGGCTCGTCCCGCTGGCGGCACAGGCATTCAACGTCCTTGTTGAGCTCCTTAACTGCCTGGGGACGGGTCGTAGAGAAGGCGGTCCTTCCAGTCATCCGGAACGCAGCTTGGCGGACTGCCAGTCGAACGAAGGTCGATAGGCTCTGATTGGTGGGCAGCATCTTGAAAGATCTGCAAAGTTTGTTCGCATTTGGTTATATTTCGATGGATGTGGGCTCTTTGGTGTGGTGGTGGACGTGGAGGTTACCTGGCTTAAGTGGTGGGCCGAAAGGAGTGAATATAAATTTATTTCTTTTGTATTCTGAAATACGGAAGGAATGTAGAAAAAGCAAACGGATTGTCAATGGGTTGTAAGAAAAAGACGTGTGATTCCTGAGCTACTAAGATAACAAAATTTGTCGACTTTCAGAACCTTCTTTTCCGTTTATTGTTCAAAAATAAGTATATTTTTAAAATAAATCAAAAGGCGATGATGACAAATTTGCTGCTTTCATTATTTTATTTGTTGTGATAAAGTAATTCATTGTGGTCTCCCCCCACTTCTCTTTTTGTCGCACTGCACGCACTCGAGACTAAAGCACAAAACATAATTAAACAATTAAAAAGCCTTTTGGCACTTGTCCTTACTTAGCCCAATTCGTTGGGCGGCACATCAAAGCCGTAAAAAGAGTTGTGTGCCTAATTACGCCGCCAAGTGCAGTGGATGGAAAAGCAAAATGCAAATTTGCAGGCAGGCAATAAAAAATACATCAAAATTAACTGGCAACAATGAGAGCGAGTGGTAAAATCACAGCATTTGCGGGGCAAGTTAATTGTGCAACTTTGAAGTGAGAAGCGGGCTTGAAATAGGGAAACACTGGAGAAAAACAAGATATTTAAACACAAATGCCAAAATAAAAATACTTTGGGGATAGCAAAAAGTGTAGAGGAAAAGGGTTGAATTTTTATTAAGTAGTTTATTTTTAATAGTAAGTACTTTACCTACATTTTTTTCGAGTGTCTGGTAGTAGGACAGTGCTTTGAACGAGAAGTGGCTGGACCCTCGGCAGTCTAGTCATGGACTGTAATCCTTGCTGCTCTGCATTTTTTGTGCTCCCGTTCGTTGCCCATTGATTTTTTCTATATTATAAAATTTATGCTACCCGCTCTGCTTTGTTGCACTCTTGTCTCTGCCACCACCCCCCCCCCCCACAATCCCCCCTTCCCCTTCCCATCCACTTCATTTTCTGCCTTTGCTTTTTATAGCCATTTTTATTTTTACATTTTTCCCAAGCGCTTTTGAGCTTTTGTTGTCGAGTGCGCGCCAGTGCCACCCGAGCCAAAAGAAAAGGGCTTGACAATAAAAATTATGAAGCATATTACTTGAGTGCACTTGGCTTCCTCTTTCCATTCTTTCTTCTTTTTGCCACTTTTTCACCCAGCCCTTGTTTGTGTTTTCCCGGGCTAGAAGGATGCGAAGGTATGCCAAAGTATGTCGCTAGTTTTTTGAGAGCAAACTTGCGTGTTAAGTAGCAAAAAGGGTTAAGAATGCTTAGGATAATAATAAACTGAATAGCAGGAGGGAAGTGGGGAAACGGTAGTGCAAGGCTGCCTTAGAGTGCACTGAAAATATCTGGTTTTTGTATACCTTCATATTAAGATGATATATAGATTCCTACTTTTAATTTACAATTTCAAAAGGTTCGTTTGTGTTGATAAAACCACAAGCAAAACAAGTTACGAGTCGTTGTTAATAAACATGATGTTTGAATATATTGAGCTACAGAAATAATCTTTATTCTCAAAAAATACATTTTATTTGGTGGTGGTGGACTTTAGCGATGCATTCAGTAAGGCTTTGCGGGTTGAAAACTACTACATTATGATTGTTTTTTTTGTACACCATATCAAAATATACTACTTTTCAATCCTCAAAGCGTTAATGTTTCATTGTGTTCAGAGGGTGCATCCGAAAATTGCAAATTTTTGTGACATATCCTTTCTAATAACTTCCGTAGATCATCTTCCGCCGAAACTCGGACCAATAATAGGTTGAGGAAAAGCAATTGCGCTGCTTTTTGCAAAACTCTTTAAAATACTCATTGCTCCTGCGTTTTTTCTCAAAAGGGGATATTTGACAGCCCTTCGAAGTAGCTAGTGTGAAGTCCAGTTTGTAGGGCAGTTCTGTCTGGCTGAAGTAAACAAGGGGAATGGTGCGTCGCAGTTCCGGATGGACGAATTCGCCGGACTTCTGGCAGATATTCGGTCGAGTCTGAAATCCCCGAACAAGGGAAATGCCTTTGCCTCGCAGCCTCTTGAGAATTTGGATCATTGCGTAAAATGGTTGAAATTTGAATTTATATGTATATATTTATATGTATCACAAATTTTATTGGGATGTAATAAAATAGGGCTACTGGGTTTTAAATCTGTTTCAATTGTAATACATTTATATTAAAAATAATGTATTATAAATAATTTCGGAAAATGACTTATAAGTCTGGTTAAAAAGAATTTTAATGAAGTTCTTTAGATCTGGAAGACTGTTAATTTAATTGGAAGTGTAGGTAATGATTAAAAAATACTAAGCATAAAGTAAACAACAACATAAGCTTATAGACTGAATTTATTTAAGTTCTTTTGAATAACGCAATCCCCGACATAAAATGGATACGGTAAATTCAGTCCGAAAGTGACAAGCAGCGTTTTCCGGGAGTAGACACTTAACACTCCAATTTTGGCAACGGAGGACTCCTAGTAGCTCGATCGGCCGTAGATCATGCTGTGCCGGAACTCTGCCCACCGGGTGCGGTGGCTGCGGTAGGACATGTACGGCGAGATGACCTTCCGCGAGATGGAGGGTCTGTTGGAGCGATCCTGGTTCTGCTGCGAGGTGACGGTGACCCGCCGCAGCAGCTCGTTGTCCGCCTGGGCTCGCTTTCGGTCCTCCTCATCGTTGTCCTCCGGCGGACCGAAGACGGTCTCGCGAACGGAGCGCACCTCCAGGTCGGACTCGTCGTCGTACTCCTCCTCCTGGGCCTGCAGCTCTCGGCTGAGTCGCTCCTCCTCCCTGTCCTGCTGCTCCTGCATGGCGTTCCGGTTTTCCTGGGACGCCTGTCGGGCCAGGACGTTCCTTCTCTTGGCCGCATTTTGGGCGGCCACCACATTGTTGCGACGCGGTATCGCGTCATCCGGCAGGACCACCGGCCGGAACATGGCGGAGTCGAGGTGGGGAATGTGGTTGCTCCACTGGCGGTTCTGCTGCCGCTGCCGCAGGAGCTGCGCCGCCGCAAAGTTCTCCTCACGCTTCGGCCAGTCCTTTTTCCAGGCACTCGAGGTCGTGACCCCGCCCTTTCGGCCCCCTTCCAGGCCCGAAACGGTGGTCAACGATCGCCGGCCATCCATTAGACTCCGCTTGGCCAAATGGCGGATCGATGGCAGGTTCCTGGCAAATATTGGCATCTCTCCTCCGTGTATCTGGTTCCCCTAAGCGGTCGGTTTTAACGGGCAATTTTCAGTAGGCTTTGGACTCGCTTGGCCAAAAGATACGCCAAAAAAAAGGGTCGACTTAAATTTGAAATATTTGAAATCAGGGCGCTCGGGTGAAACAAATTTTGGTTGTCTTTAGGGGAAAACAAGTTCGAAAATGAAAAACTTCAACATTCGTGTGATGATGTGGTCGCAAAGACACTGACGTTTAAACACATGTTTGCTGTGGCCGGCAAGTTGTCTTTTCAATTTCCCCTTCGAATAGATAGATAGATACTCGTAGACCGGAAAAAATATGTGTCCTGCGAAAACAAATAACATAATTTATTTAGGGCCACAAGGAATTCAATTTGATTGCGACTTGAGTCTTTCGGGCAAATTAAACAACAAAGCCAAAACGAAAATCATAGACCAAGAACACAATTTGCCATCGTCACATGAACATTTATTAATTTTGCATCAGCTGCAGTGGTGCGAGGCCCTTTGGTGGCCCGATAAGTCCTGGGCCGAATTTAACGCAATTTCCAAATGGAAACAACAACAACAACAACAATAACAGCAACATGAACATGAAATTGAGTTAGTACACAATTACAACAACAATTATGAGTGAAGCCGGCAATTTTACAATAAATTCCAAACTATACGGGAAAAGGAGGCCGTCTTGAAGTCGAACGTTGTACACTTTTTCTCTGATGATAACAAATAATTATTGATTATTAATTATTATGGTTTTAAGCGCTTAAAACCCACAAAAAAACTCAAACTTGTATATGTTGCTATGATTTAATTGTAATTAAAATCGATTACTTAAAAACTATCCAACATATTATATCTTCAGTTTCGAAAGAAACCTGACTTGTCGAACAAGTTGATGGGCTGTACTTATAACTGGAATACTCCTCTCCAAAAAGAGTGTTTGATAAATCTTTATTGCGTACAAAGAACTATGCCTGGCGGTCTGGATGGCCAGCGGGGTATGATTGGTTAGTGCGGGCTGCTGAGTTTGTGCGTTGTTTAAATGTAGGCAGAAACATGTCACTGCTTTTTAATTTAAATGCAAATTAAGGCCTTTGTCAACACTTTGCCAAACTCAAGACGACGAAGACAAATGCCTGAGGCAACTGCAAGGAGAACTGTCAAGGAATGGCTATGCGGGAAGTATAAGTTTAAAGTATGTGCATTGTGAGCAATCTCTAGTTCTATCTGGATCATATTATATTCAAATATGGTACGTAGTTATGAATTTAAATAAATAGAAAGCCTTAAAAATGGTATGCTTTTATATACTAAGACTTGGAGAGATGAAATTCTTTTAGAAAGATCTTATCTTATGAGTCAAGAAATAAATTTCTACTGATGCCTATGTTTACAAATATCTTTACAATTACAACTCTAAAATAGATATTTGAGTAAAACCGGTTGCATTTTATTTAAATCCAAATTCATTTAATTGATCAATTTTCTAAACATAATATTAAGACTCAAAAGAAGCACATTTTTAAAGAAAACACGATTGTTTGGGTAACATTTTTTTTCTTGGAGTGTATGCATAGAGAAGTCCTTATGATGCACATCCTTAGCGCACACACACAGCCCCGCCCACATAGCGCCACATCCAGTTGAGGTGCGAAGTGACCCGAGTGTTGACCCCGACGCCAAAGGGCTGTCCGCAGCTCCTGCCAAAGCTGATCACGCCCAGCAGAAACATCCGCCCCCTTTGGCGCAGGATCACCGGACCACCGGAGTCGTACTGGCACGAGTCCTGGCCCCTTCCCCGGGAATCGTAGGTGCACATCTGGCTGGCAGATAGGCTGGAGTTCAATCGCTCGCGACACGCGTTGTTCTCCATCGTCAGCAGGGTTGCCTTCTGTAGGGTGTTCGATTTGGAGGCTGCAAAGCCCAAGGTTCCCCAACCCGCGATGTCCACATTCAGGTAGTTGAAGGGGCTCTCTCTGGGGTTAATTATAGTTGTTTACTGTGTCACAATAATTTACTTATTTCAACTTACGCTTCTCGGATGGGAAGACAAATTGGCGCCACTCCACGGTTCCATTCCATGGATGTTACTGTTTGCAGCAAAGCGATGTCGTTTATGTTTCCAGATGCCGTTTCTCTATAGCCAGGATGGTTGATGATGCTCTGGATGCGATGCTCAGTAGCATAGATCGATTCGCTACCTTTAATATAAAATACAATTTTGTAGTAAATAAGTAATTGGAAAAGCTCAAAGCAAATTACTCAAATTTAATGTGAATCTAAGCAAAAATATTTATGTAAATGTTGCAATATATTTAACCCCCGATAACCCATTAAAAAGAAGAAATGACTTTAAAAATGTAGATAATAGTTGAACTATAATTTGTACACACTTTTTGAGGTCAGTACAATTCTCACAAAAAAATATTATCTTACTAAGCTGTATATAAGAAGGTTGAATGTTTCATTTAAAAGCCTGCTAAAACATATTTTTTTTTTTTCTAACAATGGGTTCAGCAAAATAAGAATGTGTTTATTTATTAATGACTTTTGTTTGTATATGTTTTATGATTTGTTTCCCTAAAAAAGGTACAAATTAAAACCAAATCTTCATCTATAAATGTTGTAGGTAAAGTGGTGGATATACTCATATCTTAGATTCTTTATATGGCTGTCATAACTTCTTACAATCTTTTAACTACCGTGTACTTATCTTAAAAAAAATAATACATAGATGTAAACAACTCACCTGTGCTTAGATCATGCTCCCCAACAAGTGCTAATAGCAACCTTGCTACCGGTTGGCGAGCGGTACAGTGGGCAGCTGTTAAAATGAACCTGTCGCTGACAATGGTACCGCCGCAGAAAATGGGCAGGTTGGAGGCCAGGTCCCGGATGCCCACCATTGAGGGAAACTCGTGCTTTCCCGCCTCCACTCCGTTGGCAATGCGATTTGGATAGGACCAACCGCACTCGCAGGGCCGCGGACGGGCCACCGCTTGGCAGCTGAGCCTGGACCGCTGTTGGGTCAGCGGACTGCTCGAGTAGTAGGCGAAGGCCATGGTCTCGAAGTTGGATATCCGGTTCAGCTGGCCCATGCGGCAATGCCGCTCCGCATCCCGAAACTGCAGGTCGCCATCGCGGGAGATAAACAGGTACTCAGTGCCACAAGTGTCGGGAGACTAACACGGTTGGGGTTTAAAAATTCAAGATTTTAGGAAGCGTAAGGATCACAAAACTTAGATTAATATACTTAGAATAATATAAGCACAAAATATTGTTCTCAACTCAAGCTTACTACAAGCTTAGAATTGATATAATTATGACCAGCACACAATATTTGTTATTAATAATTTCACGTAAATTTAAGTATTCTGTAATATATTTTGTTCAAGCCAACTTACCAACTCAAAACGACAACTCAGGTGAATCGCATGATTTCTGGGAGCTCTTAAACGAAATCTACAGTTAGTTCCACTGGGAATAGCTCCCGGATAATTTAAACTTGTTATATTCCTAGGTTGATTTGGCGGCAATTCATAGAACCTGGTGCACGGTTGTTGCGCGGAAACTAAACTGAATATTAAAGTCACCAGAAATCCGGAAAACTTCTGAGGGCACATGATCAGCACGTCGCTATATTGGTTGTAAAAATGATGAAGCTTCTGTGCAGCTTATATATCAGCACTTCGAATGATAAGGAAAATATTCGTGTGTTTAAAGATCGTGAATATTTGAGCAAGTCAAATTGGATTTTGAAGTCAAGGTGAGCAAAAATAATTGTTGACTTCGTTTTTACATGCACTCAAAAAAACTGAAACAGGGACAGATTGAATATAATAATATACAACTGTATGGCAAAAAAATACATATATTATACCAACAAACCATACCCTGGAGCAAATAAAAAAACTAAATACATGCAATAAAAAGATTTTTACCCAAATTATATTATATAATTATTTTTATAGTTATCATTTTTTCTATTTTAATATTAATTTTTAATATTTTAATGTTATGTAAAATATTGGTTTTGTTAGATAAATGTTTATTTAACAATGTAATTAAAGCTTTACAACCAAGAGGTTTATGAAGTACAAAATCCTTAACCATCATCCATTCGCTTTTCCTCCCATCCCAATCAATTAAGATCTTGATCCAAACATTTTATTCCCTTTACAAGCTAACGACACAATTAGAGTTCCCGATCTTTTGGCGGATCCAACTGATGTAGGAAGTTACCCTGGTATTTACACCCATTGGATACTGACTTTCCGCACAGCTCTTTCCAAAACTGATAATTCCGACCAAAAACTGTCTGGTTTTGCGCAGAATGACTGGACCACCTGAATCGAATTGACAGGAGTCGCGGCCAGTTCCCGAATAGTCATAGGTGCACATTTGGCCAGTGTATATCGTAGCTACATTGTTGTACTCCGTCTGGCAATCCTGATTGGTCACTATATTCAAATTGATCTTCTGAAGCGTTGCCGAAGTTGGTCCGGCAAAGATGAGGGTTCCAAATCCGATTACATCCACGGTGTCATAGGTAAATGGTGAGGTTCTAAAAGTAAACCCTTGGTAACTATAGCTTAACTTCGATAATGAAATCTAAACTCACGTTCCAACAGGCGGCAGACAAATCGGACCCACACCACGGGACCATTTAATATTGGTGGCGGTTATCAAAACCGCTATATCGTTGTTCACATTGGGATCACTCACATACTGCTCATGGGGTATCATCTGTTGTATACTGTATTGTTGGTAGTACACGGAACTGGAAGCTTAAATAGGAGTTTAAATAAGTTAAATTGTGAGATAAGATAAAGTTAGCAAGAAGTCTAGGATTACCCTAAGACAGTTTACATATGTATTTTCATTTTGAGTACTTATAATGAGTACTCTAGAGTATTCTAGAGTTCTGTCATTTTATTTTAAATAAAGCAAATATGTTCTCAGTACTTACGATTATTCAGATTGTTGGTTCCAACTATAGCTACAATATTGGTAGCCTGACTGACCATATAAATACAATGGGCGGCAGTCAGGATGTAACGATGAGCCACTGTAAATGGATATATATAAGATAAGTATATACATTTTAATAACAAGAGCTGAAATTATTATAGCTCGTACTCAAGAAGATTAATTTAAACAATCTTGTTAATGCTTTGAACTCACCAATGGTTCCTCCGCAGAAGGATGCTTGATTCTTGGTCACATCCTTGAGGGCAGCGAAGCTGGGAAACTCGTTGGCCGCCGCCTGCTGGCCATTGGCAATCCGCGCAGTGGCTGACCAGCCGCAGTTGCAGTTCTGTTTGGTGACGGTTAAAGCACACTTGAAGTTTCCACCACTTGTTCCGGTGGAAATGTAGGCGAACACCAGTTCAGTGAAGAGAGACTCCCGTGAAAAGGACCCTGAACCGCAGAAGTTTTCCGCACTTCGCATCAGCGGATCGCCTTCTTGGTCTACCCAAAAGTTATCCGTGTTGCACTGGCCATTGTTCTGAGGTTTTAAAGAATATCATACGAATTATATTCCATTAAAAAAACCGTAAATCGTATAATGTCTCACCGATGGCAGTGCTATATTGCACTGAACTTGAATGTAGTAATCCAAGGGCGCGACGAACTTGTACCGGCAGGATGTTCCGCCGGGATAATTGCTGGGATAGTAGGGCGATTCCACGTAGGTGGTGCCCGCATTGAGGTTGTAGGTGTTATCACAGCCCTCGAAGTAGGCCGAAACAGCAGGTGCCAGCAGCAGCAGGGAGATTAGACAGCGGTTAAACATTTTGGCCATACCTTTCGGCTACGAAGCCAGAACTCAACTGGGCTAACCCGATAATGGCACCCACACCTAATATCAGCCCAGTCTACTAAAGCCTAAGCTAAAGCTAATTAAATAAATAATGATAAAACAGTTGGAATTTGCCATTAAGTATACGCCCCGTTAGTGAATGATTTTGCCTCCAGTTTGCAGTTGTGCAAATAATTGTAACACTCGAATGGCCTTGTCAACTGCATACGATATCGGCTTTGAACTTGGCCAATACTGCCTTGGCGTTTTACATTCCGTTGATAAGCTGTAATGCACTGCCTGGGTCACGATACAAAATTGTTTTCGAGCTATGTTTTTCGGATCGTTTAGGGCTATCCGCCATCTGTGCGCCTGGTGATAAGCTAAAGCCTTGGGTAAACAAACATTTTTTGAATAATGAGTTTTAATTAAGAGGCAAATAAAAGCGCAAATAAGTGACGGCGTAAACGTACGAAAATCTGTTTAAATAGATTAAAAGTGAATTTTGCTCTTCCCGGTGATATAATTTATATTTAAATAATGGATAAGATAAACCAAAAACAGGAACATCGTTTATCAAGTAGACCTACTTATTAGGAAGTTAAGTTATTATGACTAAATAATTTTCATAATTTAATAACCCTTAAGATGTTTTTTTTTGTTATTTACTACTATTCAAAAGTTTTCCGCATATACAATATTACTATTATGACTGAAAATAGATAAATACCAACAAATGGCATCTTTGTTTTTTTATTTGCTTAATAAACATAACGACTTATGTGGCTTTAATTTTTTAAAGTCAACCCAACTGTTTATTTTAGTATGGCTTAAATTTATGCACTTTAATTTTCTTGGAGATTGCAAATAATTTACAGAATAAACTTTTAACTTGAATTTTAAATAACAACGTTTTATTCTTGATGTACATTTGTGGCTGTTTGGATTACGCAAACACTTCGTTTAATTGCAGACTTTTATTCTGATACAAATCAAATAACTAACAAACCAATGTATTCGAAGCAAGAGATGGGGAAAATATTTGTTGATATTTAATTATGTTTACGCTTATGTAAATTTGCATAGCTGTACTATGTTTGCCTTGAAAGAAGCTGATGGAAAGTTTTGGTGATGAAAAAATAGGAAATGCCAAAAACTGAGTTGAAAAGCAGCCAGCAGAGAATTAAATTTGCGCTAAAAATCAATTAGGGCAATCGGCAAAAAGAAAATACCAGTAATGGCTGACAAGGTGCAGCTAAATGTCGATGAAAATCAAGCAATCTGTCCATCAAAAGTTGACTTTATGCTAAAATTCCATCCGAAAACATATACGTAAAAAAGCGCCTAAATGCATGCAGCAGTTTTGTCACAGGATGCTCCGAGCTGTGTAATTATAATATGGAAACAAAACGTTCCTTTTTTATGCGCAATACTTTTACTGCTACACCCACCCAATTTTCCTGCACTGGTATATAACGATCCAATGTCTATATTTTCTAGTGTCACACATTTTTTTAGACCTCTTTGTTTGTGTGCGTTTTTTGTTTTGGAGCATTTTTTGCCGTGCATTTGCATTTTCCACTAATTTGACTTTTGTATTGTTGCGGTCGCTCCCGCCACTCCCCCTGCTGCCGGTTTATGTGTTAGAGTTTTTTCTGCTCCTTTTGGCTTTCCACCAATCGCATTCCCTCTTCCACATCTTTGTCTCTGTGTGTGTGACTGCGCGTGGGTATTGGTGGGTGGGCTGCGCTACGCACTTTTTGACTTTTCGTTGGGGAAAATGCGTTTTCATGCATTGGTTGGCTGTCGAGTGGGATCCACCGGGGAGGGGTTCGTATTGGGTTGGGTATTTGCCCGAACCTCCCCCTTTCCCCCAAATGGCCCGTCTATGTCTCTCTTTCCGTTAGTTGAAGTGCATTTTCCCAGAGCTTGTCATTTGATGTGGCTGTGACTCTGTGGCCATATCATTAATTGCCGTTAGCTGGTAACAGGAACTAGGCATGAAAAGGCTCGGAGCACACACAAATTAGTGGGCGACATGAATTGCATAACGAAACGAAAAAGAAAAATGAACTGAAAGCCGGAACTGGTGAAAAATTACGACTATATGGCTCAACTTTAAAAATGAAAATGGTCTTGTTTTGAAAAGAAATTGTAATTTTTTAATTTTTAAATAATAATAATAATAATAATATAATATAGTGAAATACACTTTACAAATTATAGTTAAGGTTTTTTAATCCTAATAAGAAACACTATTTAATTTAAAGCGTTGATGATCGCAAAAAAATTAAATTATGTCGTGATATACAGAAAAGGCGCTTAATATTAAAATAAAATTTGATTTGTAGTTTAATTTAATATTTTCTAGAAACCTTTTAAAAATAAATGTTATCTTATATACGTGTTTTAAACTTATTTTTTATTTTTCTGCAAAAAAATTTTTTTTTGTACTTTTATTTGTAGAAAATAATTTTATATATTATAATATAAATCAATGAAATGGAAAAATATAGTAGTAGCGCTAAATGATCTTAAATTTATTATTATATAAGTAGATATTTGTAAAACTAAATTTGTTGAGTAGTATTAAGTAGCTTATTTTTATATTTCTCTTCGTTTGTTAAAATGTTTTGACTAGCTAAGCCATAAGTCGTTTGCTTTGCAATCAGTGAACAGTAATTGCAGTTTCCTGGTCTATAATCCGACAAAATCGGTGCATCCATCAAAGGACTCATCTATCCTCCTGTTTGCGAGCCTCCTCTGCCCTTTTGGATCCCTCTCTAAAATTCACTTACAACGCATATAGACAGAACGGAAAACACATTCAATTTGCTGCACCTTCAATCACAATAAATCCATACAAATTTCCGTTTTTTCCAAGTTGCAACGCTTTTCAAATGCAAACTAAGCAAATTTTAATTAATGAAAAATTGCAATTAAAAAACAGCCATCGCTTTCTTGTTACCGCCAACTATCTCCCTCTGGCTAGTACAGTTTTCCATTTCCACGTCAGATAAAAAATGGCCAAAGAAAAAGAGCAACCAGTCCGCAGGCACACAAAAACACAAAACCCGTGTGCCCAGTAAATGCATAAAAAAACAAAACGCACCGAGAGCCAGTACATATGAGGCAGTACATATATAGGGGGCCTTTTGGAATTTTTTGGTTTTTATTTTTGGGGGGGGGTATGCATCTAAGCAAAGCTTTGTCGCTGCCAGCGTCACCGATTAACATAAACACGCAAAAAACATTAACAGAGCCTCGATTTTTGTTGTATTTCCCAGCCTCAGCCTCGGCTTCGTCCAACGGCAACGCAGTTAGAAAAGCCAAGAAAAAAAACTAAGGGGGCAAAGGAGGATAGAGGGGCTGCTGGTAAACTAAGGCGGAGGAAAAAAAAGATATTTCATACATAGATAACGCGGCGTATGTGTAATGTGCGAATGGGACGCAAGCTGGCGAGCGGCGCTGACTGCCTCTCATTCTGGCATTCGCTCATTACACTCATTTCGCATAGTTTGGGGCTGGCGCATAGGCAATTTTCCATTTTCCGCACACACACACCACCGCAGCAGCACCCAAACCCAATCACAAAAACGCGTTAATAAGAGGAAAACGTGGCGCAAAAAACTACACACAGACACAGAGATGCGGATACATAGAGGGAAAGAGCGATTTCCCCCAGCAGCTGGCTCGGCCAATCGCAGAATTTGTTTACGAATCGGGCGGCAAAAGCAACAGAAAGAAAACACTTGGGGAAAAAGAAAAATGCTCACCGAGCTCTCCCATTTTCCACTCTCTCTCTCTCGTGCTCTTCCTCTCGCGGCACAGTTTTTATTTTTCTTTCGAAAGCCACGTGCCGAACCCCGCTCTCTTAAGCACCGCGCTCTCTTTGCTTCGTTGAGTTTTCCACGAGACGGTGGCGGCGGAAAACGCGAGGTGGGGATGCTGGAGGGAAAAAGGGGGTGGTACATAGTCGCTTTGGTTGGCTGGCAAACTGGTTTCTGTCGATTGACGTTTTAGTTAATATGGTCAACAAATTTTAATTGAATGGTCCATGTTTGTAAATGTTTGATGAGTGCGAGGGAAAACGAGAAATGGCAACGACTCAGCCGAATTTTATTGGATTTGGTAAAATGTTGGGATATAACATTTTATTTATCAACCAAATCCATATGGATGTAAATTTGATTTCATATAACTACTTCGAACGAAAAAAGTATTCGCAATATTTTTAGAAAATACTGAAATAAACAAGTTTTGAAACAAGATGATAAAAAGAGGTATTAATAATATTTTTTCAATTTTAATGCAAAAAGTTTTGCACAGTTTTTAAGACTATGGATATTTCGAACGTATAAACTTCAACCTTATAATTAATATATCACACAACAATCCAACACCTATTCGTATTTAACAAAATTTCTCTATAAAGGACAATATCCAAGCAATTTTCTAATGTTACATATTTGCATTTCATGGACTTTAATTTTATTTAATATCTTTGTGTTTCTAAACTTTTTTAAAATTATATTCGATTAAATGTTTGTTTCGTTTATTCCAATGTATAACTTAAATATATAGCACCAGTCCCTTTTTTTGTATTTATTTATTTTATTTAAACATATCGAACAATAGTTGAAAACATCAATCTTTAGTTTTTCCTTGTAGACCATTTGCAAGTTATACTTTTGACTTGTATTAGACTTAAGATACGTTAGCAGAAGTACCAACAAAAACGACATGAAATTACCAGAAACTCTTTCTTCCATTACTCAAACACTTTACGACACTCATTAACCCAGAAAAACGGCGATGAGAAACAAACCGTAATGTCCCCAAAGAATTTTTCTATTAGCCCACAATCGATTGCGGAGCTTATGACCTGCGTGCCGGGCTATAAGCAGATATTACTCAACCCAGGGTTAGGGGACACTTTTGGGATAGAAAGACACGGCAAATGGAGGAACGGAGCAAACAGTTAAATGAAACGGTAAACATAACGCATTAAACGTTAATGTCGCCTAATTGTGTAATTCGTGGTGTCG